GTTCTCATGATCAAGCAAAGGAATTCATAAGACATGCACCGAGACATGAAAAACACGTGAAAAAGGGTACATGACACTTTCGTGTAAACGAATCAAATCGTTTTCCATGCCACAGAGCCACAACATGCAAGGACTGTGAACATATCACCTCTTGGCTAACGGATAACAAAATATCACTAAAGTGAGATTGTGTATTTTTTTGAACTACGTTTGATGATATAAATCCTGCATTACCCATCGCAAGGAATATGCCATAATTCCCATAGTTTAGGGTCTTTAAGGTAATGCAGGATTTGTATCATCAACCGTATGTCAATGAACTAACTAACGAATGAAGATGAATGAAAGAAAGAATCAATGAAGCAACCAATCAATAAATCAATCAACCAACCAACCAACCAATTAATCGATAAATTAGTCAATCAACATTCAATCTTTCAATCATTCAGACGAATTAATGGGTTGAAGCGAATGAATGAAATGATTGGAATGAGCGGAATGAATGGAATAAGCGGAATGAATGGAATGAATGGAGCGGGTGGCCTGAATGGAAGTGATTGGAATGATTTCAATCATTGGAATACGGGTGTGATTAGACTGAGTGGAACGAACGGAATGACTGGAACGAGCGGAATAAAAGGATGAAAGGAAGAAAGGAATGGATTGATGGATGGATTCATGGATTCATGGATGGATGGGTGGGTGGGTCGGTGGATGGTTGGATGGATGGATGGATGGATGGATGGACGGATGATCGAATTAGTGAATGAACGAACGAACGAGCGAACGAAGCAAGGAACGACTGAACGAAGGAAGGAAGGAAGGAAGGAAGGAGTGAGGGAGGGAGGGATGGGGGGAGGGAATGTTGTGACACTACTTGCCTATCTCGCAATGGGAATAACGTTCTCTCACTGGTTGCTGAGCTTTGCTTGAGGACGACGCAGGGCCATACTTTTGGATCCTGATGACATCGTTCAAGCCTGGGTCATGGCAGGTCAAGCATGCTGACATACAGCCAAACAAACATTGACAAAACAAAACGAGTATCCGCAACAAATCTTCAGGGTTCCTTGATCCAGTCACGCACGTGCTCATCGTAACGTCCACGCGGAACACCACAAAAGTTTGGCAAAAAATCTTCGAGATCCGCACCACATGGCACCTCACAGCCATGCAAGCGAAGTGCTCGAAACTGTAAATGTGCAGGAATCCTTTCATGTTGAAGGCTGTTGCAAAGTCCGTAAAGCTTGGGACACAAAGACCCTCTTATCGAACATGCCACGAGCTTTTTCAAGTGCACGGCGCCAAAAAGGCGAATGCCATGAGCGGAGAGGGAGCAGTAGCAGTAGCAGCAGTAGCAGTAGCAGCAGCAGCAGCAGCAGCAGCAGCAGCAGCAACAGTAGCAGTAGCAGTAGCAGTAGAAGCAGTGGTAGTAGCACTAGCACTAGCACTAGCAGTAGAAGTAGCAGTAGTTGTAGCAGTAACAGTAGCAGTAGTAATAGTAGAAGCAGTAGTGGGAGTAGAAGCAGCGGAAGAAGTAAAAGCAGTAGTGGATCAGTAGCAGGCAGCAGCAACAACCAGTTCGTGCCTGTCCGTCGATGCTCAGGTTTCGCAGGAACCAGCTGAGGCCGCAGACCCTGGGAGAATAACAACCCGTTCTCGCCATATCACTATTTGCCGTTCACTATACAAGCAATGCTCCATAACCGGCGTTCCTGACCATCCTTCACGTGTTTGCATCAGCTGCTTGCAGTAGATCACAGAAACCAACAGCGAAAAGCAATCGAGGAAACAAATGGAGGGAACGGATGAGCACGCAAAAATCTTTTGCCAACCAAGACACGACCGTGAACTTTCCAAAGACAGTAGACACAGACAGTCAGACTCGTACATGCCGCCCTGCATTTGTGTCGATGCTGAAGATTCCGGCAAACACCACACACATCATAGTCTGCCTGCACGAGTACAGACGACTGCAGTCGCCGGAACACCAAACCAGTCTTCCCCGATTAGGGCACCGAGCTCCCAAAGGGCTTCTGCAAGGAATGGGTCGATCAAGTCCGTCCACATCATGTTCAACACCTGGGCCAACCGCGAGTATTAGCTGGATGCTCTACTTCACATGCTCACACGGTCTGCGGATGCAGTCCTCAGGACATCACTCGGTGTCTGTTCTGAAGGCTGAACCCCTGCATTTGGGCAAAGTCGATGATCTTGGTGCACCTTAAGGAGAAGGGGTATGTGACAGTACCGCGAAAGTTGCGACCTGCATAGCTAGACGCCCTAATGCCACTTGCAGGCCTCTTGCACGGCCACAGCATGCTGAGAAGAATGGCCATGCAAAGCAGCTGCGCAGTGCCAGCACAGTGCCACAGCAGCATGCACAAGAGCCTGACTCCTGGTGTGAAAAGAAGTTGGGAATTCCAACCTGCTGACATAAGAACTTCAAGCACATGTATGCTACCTATCAGATGGATGGACCAGGTTCAGCACTAATCATGACGGGCTGGCACAGTCAACGCTTTGGAAGTACACGGGCCTCAGATCCAAGATCCCTTGCTTGAGCAGGAGCTTCGAAACGCCAAGGCAGTCCGAGAGCCGAACTCGGGATACTTCTGCTCTGAGAAGACGCTACTCAGCGTGGACCCGGTGAAAGACGTCCTTCGCCAAGGCGGCAAGGCGGCAAACACTGCGCTGACGAAAGCTCTGGGCAGTATGCTTGTCAATGCCATCTCTGATGACCCATGTATGCGAGAAGCTAGATGAGTGCTGCTGCGGTAACTTCGCAACCTATGCCCATCAGTCATGCTGATCTCGTTCACACAAGTAGATTGACAGGAACTGGTGAAATCTGAATTCCCGAGAACCTGTTCTCCAGCTTCTTCTGCGCTTTCTTCTCCTGCTCAGCTATGGCATTGTCTAGAGGTCTACTACATAGTTCGTTCCCGCACGAAAGAAAGAGGTTCGTGTAGCTGTGTCCATTCAGCCTGCAACTGCGCAAAAGTCAATTCTATGTCCCGTCCTTTTTTGGAAACTTGATCTCCATGTCAATGCGAAGGCTGTCCTTCGGCTAAGGAAGGAACTCGCTTCTTTTATCTCGGGCAGTTCTAGATCTTTGGCAAGAGCAACCAAGCACACTGCACACCCTTTGTTGAAGGACGCTCGCTCCAAGTATGGACCAACCTTGTTGACATGAGCCTGCAAAGGCATCGGCCTTGGTCAAGTGTTGGTTAATTGTTCCGACTCACGGCACGAATCCCAGTCAACGGACCATTTCCACAAAAGCTTTTGCAACCAATTTTGTTGACCTTGCGCAAAGTTCTTGGTGCCTCGCGTGGTAACAGCATTGTAGTCAGACTCACCGGGAAGCACGACCTGCAGACAACAAGTACTGATAGACTGTGTGGATCCGCGAGCCAAATTCACCAATACCCGAAAGGTAAAGCTTTTCAACTGCAAACTGCAACCATTGCGGGTGGGCTCTCAAGTCAAATCTAGTGTAGACAGGATGAATCACATCACGGCTCAGCTGCTCTTTCCCGGTGCAGCAAACTGATGACGAGCCACCATTTTTCCTGAAGGTGCCAACCTTAAACACGCATTCACAGAGAGTCACTCACTCACTCACTCACTCAATCTGCTCGCACAGGTGCATAAACTGTTGATCTTCAACAAACGCAATAAAAAGTGATGCTCATGATGGTGATGGCAACAGAGATGAGACGAAAGTTTATGTGCCAAGTATGCCAGACGCAAAGAAGGGCATTTGCGACCAAAATAAATGATCCGTTACTGGCGTATGGTTTCGACATGTTTCGACCCCGCTACGCCAGACGCCAGGGAATGACACAGCACGAAAGTGAGAGGGGAGGTGTATGAGACAAGAGCAAGCCACAACATAAAGACCGCACGCGCCTTGCACCTGAAACTTGACGGGCCCTGGGCCTAAAAGCGAAGCATGCCAAACTAGGGTACGACGACGCATGCTGACTGCGTCAACAACATTTTAAACCTGCTTGGCGGGTAAAAGCACGCCCACTGACTTTCGGGATGGTCAAAAGATTGAGGCGCTTTGGAGAAATCCAACAAGATAAACAAGGAAATGATGCAACAACTGATGAAATGGTGCCTCGCAACACAACCTGCTTGCAGCATGTACAGAACTTGCAAGTACACTCAAAGCAATGCAGTCGAAACTTGTAGACTTGACCTTCAGATGTCGTTGATGCTCTAATCAAAATACAAAATACAAAGCAGCCACACCATCTCACGTTGTTGCACTCTTTATGTCGCCAAACGACATGGATGCAGCATGGAGAGCACAAAAACTGTCCCGTGCGAACATACTGAGTCTGAACTCCTCTGCTGCATGTTTGTTGTGCTTCTTGTCTGTTTCATGCCAGTGGACCGGGCACACATGCCTGATCAATTGTACAGCGATCGCACAAGCATGACACAAACAGACATGCAACATCATAAAAACAATAGTTCTCCCTCTGTGTCGCACGCACGTTTAGATTTGGGGCAATTTCGAATCGCCACGGTTGCTCATGGCAAGAACCTCGAGCTTCAAGCACTAAGTGCCAGGCGTAGGCTCATCCGAAGAGGATCGAACAGAGGGAAGCATTTCCGTTTGTGGTATTCAAGGCATCTCGGAAACGAACCGAATAAGACTTCTGACCCGGGCTGTTCTTGGGACATGTCGCTTTCGACTGAGCCTATCGTGCCAAGCTTGAATGTGAATCTAACACCCACAGCTCGAACCGACGGCTCGTGACACAAATGTGCTCTCTTCAGCCCACCATGCATTATCGTTGTGGAGCTACATGTTCTAACACTGCAGGCATCGATAATCATCAATACTATGTCTGAACCTTACGTGTATCGTTCGCCTGTTAACCCAGCATATGCAGATATGCCTTTTCTGCTCGCTGTGAGTCGCAAGCTAATGAGGACTTCGCGTCGAGGGCTCAAGCAGAACACAAAAGCACTTTGCAGGCTCATCCAGGTCCGACCTGTAAAACACAAAGCACTGTGCCATGCTTTCCCATGAGCCCAAGCACACCCAGACCGTCGCAGCCTTCGGAATGTCGAAATGCTCCGACAAGCTGCCTAAATGTGCGTTGAGCTTGTCCATGCGTTGTCGATGCCTTCGCCATGCACGGATTCGACAGCAGGACCGTCTTAGTGCACAGCAATTCCTTTTGCCAAGTCACGTGTACTGAATCGCCTGCCACACTGAGCAAGTGTTCCGACTGTTCAATGGTCTGGGTTTTTAGAACTCAGACCAAGAGTCTCCCTGAATCATCGCATGCAACAAAGGCCATCAGCCACCACTTCCAAATATCCGAGCTTATGTAGCAACTTCCGCGGCCTCGTTGACACGCTGATTTGTTCGCTTCTCCCTGGTCAAAGCAGGCGCTGCAAAGCAAATTCGACAGTTTCCTGAAGTCGCCTAAACCCTAGCTTACATTCAATGTTCAGGCCCGTGCCTAGCCAACTGAAACGTCTTTTGCGCCGTGGTGGGCCCCTGAGTTGCTCCTTTCACCAGTTCAGATTGTTCCTGCAGCGGCGATGGAAACTTTCACTCTTGCAAACAATCAACACGATGCATTACCATGCTTCACAAATTGCAAATCTTCGACTATGCATCGACATGGCCGACAACACATGAACCCGAAGTGCTGCCATCGCGGCTTTCGGCACATGTACACACACAACGTGTTGCCATCGACCCCCAGCCTGCAGCTCTTGCTCGGCGCTCGCCTTACCCGTGCTTATCCAGCAACACTGCCAAAATACTCCTCGTAACTCCGATGCACGTGTGCAATGCAAAGCAAAAAGCACCCTTGCCGCCAACGCCTGGAGTTGCTCAGTCAAAATGTCTTCCTGAGACTTTTTCTTCCTCGGTTTGGAGCATGTCTAACAATGGCGAATTAAAGCTGCACGTTTCATGCAGCTTCCTACTCCTGGGTGCAAACTTCCAGTAGGCTCCCGTCTTCTTTGCAGCTTTTACACCGACTTCCCTGAATAGTATGTCAAAGAGAATGCAGCAACACGCCGAACACCTGCATTCGGCCTGCTTTTGTCGCCACCTTTGAGCTTCAATCCGGACTTGATGACCGTGTCCTCAAAGACACTTGAACTCTGCAGCTGGCATTCAACATGACGTCTGATTTGTATACTTTCCCTGCCGAGACTACCTATCAAAAGGTATTTGCCCCGCCACATATTTCCCGGACGACGAAGGCGATGCCATTTGCCACACCTTTGCACGAAACACATATTGTTGACGGCCGTGATTTCGAGCGAACCATGCTTCCAAGCGGCGATGCACGCACTGGCATTGGCACACCCAAACTCACCTACATGATTTCTTGATCCCTGCTGCTACATTCCGAAAGCAGTTTGTGAAAAGAGATTGCACAGCGCTCAGAACATTTTGTACGGCCACCCAGCATTCACTCATGCTAAAACTAAAAAACTGTACCTTTCCCCGCAAGCAGTTTCCAATGGGGTTGCAGAATTTCGGAATCGGGGGTTTCCCGTGCAAATGCTGTCCAAACAAATGGCACTGCCTGGACCAAGCACGACAAACAAATCGCTTCCATTCTTTTCCCACCGGAATGTCATTGTCATACCCCGGGCTTGCGTTGTGTGTTGAACTTTGGGATGTTTTGCTTCCAACTTCCGTCACTTGTTTATCCACCCCACGAAATCGAACACAAACAGCCGCAACTTTTCAGCCGGCACAACAACGGATCCGTTTTAAACCGCCTTCTAAAACTCCGACCACATAAGTCAATTCACATTTTAACTGCTTTTGTCATCAACTCAATCTTGAAAACATGTGAAATGGATCACCACACTTGTTCTACTAGGCTTGCACTGCTCTAGCACTTGGCATGCGCACAGCAGCTATTTTGACCGTATTGCATCTGAGTACGGCTTTGGGCTAGCCGAGGGGGCCTAGGCCAGCGGCTGGACCATAGGCTATAAAGTTCACCCCCCGTCTAGACTTGGTGAAAGCGACGAGTGAGTAGGAGGCCACTAACCGAAGCGAACCAAGGCGAAATTCCAAAGGCTGGAAAATGTTGCCCTCCGGACTGGTGCAGGAGGGCTGACGGCTAAGTGGGCCGGCTGAGGCAGGCGGACCTGGGCCAATAAAAGATCTCCAGAGGCTGGGAGAACTGCCAGGCTGAAGAGGCTAGTGAAACTGAGGCTCAGTCCCAAGCGTCCAAACCACTGTAGGCGAAGAAGACGACAAGTAGCCAGCTCGATGCGAGCTATACGATCCTCGGCTTATGCGAGGGGTGGGGATCGCCAAATGACTCGACTGGTGCGAGGCATGGGCTGGGCTCCAGGCTGAAGTAGTTTCCGTGTTGACCTGAGGCCGATGGGCGAAAGCAGGCATCGTCCATGTGCGAACTGGGCTAAGGTCTTCAGGCTACAACTCGCGAAGGTAGGCTGACCTCGGTGATGATTGGGGCTCGGCCACTCGAATGCGTAGGCGAGAACCGATAGGCGCGGGCCGGATGAGAGGCTCATTCAGGCCCTGCGTCTCGTAGATGTACCTGGTGCGGGTGGGCGGGTTTTTCCAGAAGCTGTGAGTCTGCTCAAGTGCTAGAGAGCCATACACTGCAGAAGTGTATAGATTCACAAACTAGCAAAACATGGCCAGCGCCAGCTGTGCAAGGGTCTCGAAGCAGGCGATGTAGCGTTGCGCTTCCTTAGTGAGAAAGGGCCAAAACACCCGTATCTCTTCCATTGTATAGGAGTATAGGCTTCTGCGAACCATGCCAGGCTATGCTTAGTGGAAACCCAACCTCCGATGCCAACCTGCGATCCCTCCGCCATGGCATCTGCTCGAGCTAGGCTGCTCAACAAGGGCGGTAGGGAGAGGGATGTTGTGGGGATGGCAGCGATTCGGGGCGATAGCCAGCAAAGGCTCTCTTGTGCAGCTTTGGTCATCTTGATGATGGGGCATGTTGGGTCGGAGATGCGTATCCACGTGTGTCCTGTAGGCTTGGAGATGAGGGGTAGGTCGGTCTTGCAGTGGATAGGCTTGTTGCCCCACTCAATGATCCGCGAGTTGATTGGCAAACAAAACCCTGTGACTTCCTTGGTGATCACTGCCCTGGAGTCTAGGCAATGGAGGAAGGCCGGCCACATTCGAAGGGCTATAGAGAAGTTGGCTCCTGGTACAGAGGTGCCAAGTATGGCCTAAGCAACGGGCTGATGTTGGTGGCCCACATAAGTAGGCAGGCTTTGGCTGAGTAGACCCTGAATTTGTAGGCGTAGCTTCTCTCTTTTGGCGGCGCATAGCTCGACTGTCTCGTAGGCGAAATTGAATCGCCAGCCACACCATACAAGGCTGTCCCCTATAGAGGCTTTCTTCCAGCTGATGGGCGCTCCAGGCATGAGCGCATTAGGATCAACATGAGCAGGGACTCCTGGGCGCAAGAGCGAAGCAGTGCGGCAAGTAGGTCGTCTACGTAGAGCCAGGCTCTGTGTGGGTGATCGGCTAGAATGGAATGAATCAGACCGGTAATGAGGCCTCCCACCCGCTGCCACCAATAGGCTGAGAATTTGGCTCCAAAGTGGCACACTACGTAACGCCACAGTGTCCCAGTAAAGGCGAACAGAAGCAGGCCTTGCTCCGAGCTGTGGACTTTGACGGTCTTGCGCGCTGCCTTAAAATGAATGCTAGCTGCCGTGTAGGCTCCTCGAGGGTCGTGAGGCTGGAAGGAGCGCCTGACCTCCTGCACTGTAACTTGGCAAATTGTGCTGTCTGGCACTAGGCGGGGGTCTCGACCTTCGGCTTTGACTAGGCTGAGCTTGCCCACCGCAATACCCTTAGGCCACATCCTTTTGGCTGCTTTAATGCCGCCCGGGACCTGTTGAATCCAACTACAGTTACCTTGGCAGCCCTCCAACCCCGATTGCGAGAGAGGCTGGAGTTTGGCAGGCGGCCATAGTGTTGCTTGACATCGGAAAAAAACCCCGGCGTGCACCCCTTCTGCCAGCATGTCTGGCAAGTCCGCATCCGGATCCTCTGTGATCGAGGCTAGGGCCTTCATGAGGTTGAGGCGGAAAGGTTGGCCTGGACGTATTACCTGCATGTCCTGCTTGTCTAGGCCTACTAGGGTGTCACAGAAGATGTCTAGGGCCTCGGCCTGTTCCTGCTACGTGAGAGGATGCTCTGGCCGGCTGAAGCTTATATGGCCGAAGACCCTCTGGACTCATTTGGATTTGGAGGCCCTTTTTTCCAGGCTTGGTGATCGGCCGTGCTGGCGGTGCCCTCTCCATCGCAAATGGGTGGGCGATTGGTGGCGAAAGGTCCTTTCGCTCGCAGCAACGCGTCAAAACTGATGTCATCGAGATTGGCTCGGCAAAGACGCAAATGGCATATTCTGCCCATAGTTTCTAGCGCCATGAGCTCTAAATCGACACACGGCCACGTCGGCAGCTGTGAGGAGGCAAGGACTATTTCCCCCTTAGTCGGGCTAGGGCATAATTGCATGGCTCCATCGTGTAGGCAGGCTAGGAACTCCTCTGATTTGAAAAGGTAGTAATGTTTTCGAGGGACTGTCAGCAGCACCCATGCTCCTGTGACTGCATAAAGGAGAGCTGCTGCATACTCAGCATTGTTGGCGAGGCTGGGAAGGTTTCCAACTATTGCGATGATAGACCTGCTCCAGAGGCTTTGCATGATTTGGGAGTGGGAGGATGACTGTTGCTCGGGCTTGGCCTGGATGATGGGCCTCACTTCCCTATTCGCGAGCTCTGCACATCGCCTATCCAAGTCGGATGTTGTGTGGAGCAGAAGGACCTGGGGCTGTGAGAAGAGGTCCTGTCGCCTGGCCTTCTACAAGGCTGCAGCTGAGTCGGAGGCTGGCTTGTGCAGGACGGCCTGATAGGCTGGGGTGATGGTTCGGGCCTGTCCGGTGCTTCAGGCCTTGGGGGCTGCGACGGGGCTGTACTCGCTGAAGCTGCCCCGTGGCCCGCGACCACTGGGGGCGAGGCTTCTTATTTCCCACGGAGCTTTGCAATATTGTATATTCTTCAAATATTCAATCCTAATATGCCCCAAAAGTTATATGGGGAAAACAAATATAAAACTATAACAAATGCTGGTCGCCAGCGAGATTCGGTCATCTTTTTCCTTCTGGCACTGCCGAAGGGGAAATCGTGGATATCCCCGCACCAGTCCAATGGCGAACACCAGGATCGCCAACGAACACCCCCGGGCGGGAGGGAGGGAAAACCACAAACGGGCCTGTGGCCGGGGAGAAGCTACCCACCCAACCCACCCTGTTTGAGGCGGCACGGGAAATCAAGATGATCAACTTCCAGAGATTGAACATCTAGTTAAAACAATCAATCAACAAAATTGCAAGGCGTTTTGAAAACTTCCACAGAATTTTTCAAATCTCTCCTAGGAAAATAAAGCTATCGGAGGCTACGCCTCAGGCGTCGCTTATTTCCCACGGAGCTTTGCAATATTGTATATTCTTCACATATTCAATCCTAATATGCCCCAAAAGTTATATGGGGAAAACAAATATAAAACTATAACAAATGCTGGTCGCCAGCGAGATTCGGTCATCTTTTTTCCTTCTGGCACTGCCGAAGGGGGAAATCGTGGATATCCCCGCACCAGTCCGATGGCGAACACCAGGATCGCCAACGAACACCCCCAATCAAGAAAGATGGAGATCCTGAGCGGCAATGTCTTCGATCGGACACTGGGGTCTAACACGAATCACGCGACCTCTGCAAGGAAAAGTGATCTTCCCTCTTGAAGGTGACCCGCTGGGTTGCTCAAACTGGGTACACGAGCAAACCACGGAAGGGTGGCTTGACTGTCCAAGCTCTCGAAAAGCAACAGGAGCTGTCTCCACAGAGGGTCCTATGAGGAACCCCTCACCAAGGATGCCAGCACCCCCGTGTGATCCACGTATACCGTAACACGACACAAATCCATATGTGCTGACCAGGCCGATCTCGCACAAAGGACTGCGTACATTTCAACTGGGCTTATCAAATGCCTTTTCCTGAGAGCTTCCCAGCCCTGTACAATGCTCAAAGAGATGGCACACGCAAAGTAGAAAGTGCACCAAGCGCCGTTGTCGTAGTGATACAGGATCCCGCCCACAGTGGCAGGATGAGCAACACTGGAAGGCTCATAGGCACCATCCGTAAAGATTACTGACCGCCTAGACGACCCAACCACCGCCGGGACTATCCTAGGGGTAC